GAGAGACATCGGCTTAATTGGGGCAGCAGCCTCGGCGAAAGTATTTGAAAAACCCCAGCCAGAGAGACAATCTGAGGAGCGGCCACTGAGCACATAGCTTACCCTCTTAGAGGCCATTAGCAGGAATATTAAACTCTGGAACCAGCGTCTCAGCCAAGACAGCGGCTGGCTTCTGGGGAGCATTTGCCACATCTGAGGTGAGACAGGCCACACCTGGGCTCCCACACCTGCTGTCACAGCATTTCCCACGGCACTGGCCATGCTCTGTCCCTCGGTCTGTGACCTCCAAGAGTTCATGACTTTGGTTCCAAGCTAAACCCAGCCTGGGAGAGCAGGCGTTTGGACCCTCAAACATCAAGCCTTCCAGGACATCCCAGTGGCCCTGGGGACATGAACTTGCCTGTGTGGTATTTGATCTTGAACCTGATGACTGGCGATCTCTGCCCTGCTGAGCGTTGGCGGCCAAACCCCAGGCATTTAATTCCTCTGCTGCAGGGAGCGCTCTGGCCAGGGGTGTCCACGCAGACAATTATTTTAGGAAAGCCGCGGAGGCCGCCTCTCCTCGCCACTTAAATCCCGCTTCTCTTTTGCAATTCAGTATTTCAGCTGTTGAGAGAACGAGGATTGTTTGCTGCAAAGCACAGCCGAGGGGCTGTAGGGAGGAGAAGTTCATTAGGGTGAACTGGGCAGCTTGGTCTCTCTCTGCACAAGCGAGAATTTTGAGGGGGTTCCGTCCAAATTGCTTGGGGATCAGAGCCAGGGAACGTGGGTGGGGAAGCTTGGACTCACGTTTGTTTTTGTGTGTGTGTGTGTGTGTGTGTGTGTGTGTGTGTGTGTGTGTGTGTGTTTTAAGAACTGAATTTGTTGTGAAAGGAGGCAAAGCTAGTTACGGTCTAACAGAAACTAGGGGAAAGCTTTCTTGACTCACCCTTCTTGGGTTGGTTGGGCTCCCTCAGGAGCAGAGGTGGGGAAGAGTTGAGTACAAGTGTTCCCCTGGGAAGTGATCCCAAGAGGAGCCAGTGCGGGGAGTGAGGAGAAGGGCAGGAAACCCATGCAGGGTGAGCTGGTGAGCAGCGTGCTGCTGTGGGCACCTGGAGTACAGGTCCTAATGGGCTCCCCGAGGAAACTTCGTGCTGTGCACAGCTCAGAGTTCTCCTGCCAGGGGGGCGAGAGGGAGGTATTCATCACTAACTCCTATGAGGCGTGGATGGGGCCTGCGGGCGGGAGAAGGCTGCCCAGTGCAAAGGCAGCGCGGGCTGGGACCACCAGGGAAAGCCCTTGGTGTTGGGTGATCCGGGCGCTGCCGCAAGACTGCAGAGGCTGGAGTGTTGGCTCCACCTGAATTAGACCTGCGGGCAGGGGTGTCTTGGAAGGCGAGTGACTTCATTCCTCCACAGGGAAGACATGGGCTTGTAAACAGGGGTTCTGCCAACTTCAGAAGGTTGTACATAGGCACAAACAATGACGAATTACAGCAGTTTCTTACAATTAGTGAGGAGTCAAGCTCGTCTGTACAATTATATCACTCCCTCACATTCTAATACGCTTTTCAAAAAAAAAAAAGACTTTATTGAGTGGGAGAGAAAAGGGTGGGCGTATAATAGCTGGAGACTCCAGGAATGTGCATAACACAGCCTGGCTTCTGCTGGGCGCTCAGTTAGTTAATGGCTTGCAAATGATCAGTTATTATTAGGCTTTGTTTCTCTGTAAAACACTTGGGCGTTTATCAGAATTTCTTCAGTGCCTGTAGGAATACATCCTGGATGGGACCAGCGTCTTTCACTTCCCACCTCTGTGTTCACCACCTGTCATCTCGCCACCTCTACGCTCACCATGCATCTCTTCCCTGGACATGCAGTCACCTTTACCCCGGTCTCCTGCCCTCATCCTGCTCCCTAACCCCCACAGTCTGTTCTCCCCACAGCAGCCAGGGGGACCACCTGACTCAGGTCATGTCTATCCTCTGTTTAGAACCCTCTATGATTCCCGCCTCACTCAGAGCAAACATCTAATCTTCCTCACTGCCTACAGGCCCCGAACATGTGACCCTGTCCCCTCCCTGCTCTCCTCTCCTTCCTCCCTGTCCCCGCACCACTACTTACCCCTTTGCTCCAGCCACACCAGCCCCTTCCCGTGTTTCCTAATCACGCCAGGCAGGATCTTGCCTCAGGGCCTTTGCACCTTCCATTCTCTCTGCATGGAACATCCTTCCCAGATAGCCACCTGGCTTCTCCCTCTCCTCCTCCAGGTCTTGACTCAAATGCATCTTCTCATGGAGGCTTTCCCAGGCCACCCTAAAATCGCAACCCCAACCACCTCTAACCCTGTGGCCCATTATTTTTTCCCTGCATTACTTCTCTCTATGGCACTCATCACCCTTTAGATACTGGACGTTTACTTAATGGTTTATTTCTTTACTAGAGGACTGGTGCATGGATTCGTGCACCGGTGAGGTCCCTTGGCCTGGCCTGTGGGGATCCGGCTGAAACTGGCTCTCTGACAGCCCCCGAGGGGTCCCAGATTGCAAAATGGTGGTTTTCGGGTGACACACCTTGGAATCTGGCTTCCTCCTCTCTGGTTCCGGGTGCATCACCGGAGAACCACAGCAGCTTGGCAGATCCTGCATTGAGCATCTGCCCCCTGGTGGTCAGTGCGCATCATAGCTACCGGTCGGACAGTTGGAAGGCTGCTTAGGCTTTTATATATATAGATTTCTGTTTCTCTAATGTGTACTCCTAGAGGAGCTTTTGTATTTGTGTGTTTTGTTCACTCTGTGATTTCAGGATCCAGAACAGAGCTGGACACACAGTAGGCGCTTAACAAATACTTGTTGAACAAAACGAGGCCATCATGCCCTGATAAAAAACAAAAGGACCGGGACTTGTGACTAACTCCAGAAGCTCCAGGGGTCCTGATCTGGAGGCCCAGCATGTTCCAGCCAGGGGCAGTCAATGCTTTCTCAAATTTCATTTTAGTTTTCAATTACAGTTGACATTCAATATTATTTTACATTAGTTTCAGGGGTCCAGCATAGTGGTTAGACATTTATATAATTTAAGAAGCAATCCCCCTGATAATCCAGATACCCACCTGACACCATACATAGCTATTACAATGTTATCGACTATATTTCCTATGCTGTATTTTACATCCCTGTGACTGTTTGAAACTACCTATTTGTACTTCTTAATCCCTTCACCTTTTCCACCCAGCTCTCCCAACCCCCCTCCCATCTGGCAATGTCTTTGTTTTCTGCACCTGTGAGTCTGTTGCTGTTTTGTTTGTTCTTTACATTCCACATATAAGTGAAATCATGTGGTATTTGTCTTTCTCTGTCTGACTCATTTCATGTAGCATAATTCCCTCTAGGTCTATCCATGTTGTTGCAAATGATTTCATTCTTTTTTTATGACTGAGTAATAGTCCATTGTATATATGTACTGCATCTCTTTTATCCAGTTGTCTACCGATGGCAGTCGGGTTGCTTTCATATCTTGGCTATTGTAAATAACATTGCAATGAACATAAGGGTGCATAGATCTTTTTGAATGCGTGTTTTGGGTTTCTTCGGATATATTCCCAGGTGTGGAATTGCTGGGTTATAAGGTAGTTCCATTTTTAATTTTTTGAGGCTCCTCCATACTATTTTCCACAGTGGCTGCACCAATTTGCATTCCTACCAACAGGGCATGAGGGTTCCTTTTTCTCCACATCTTCACCACACTGTTGTTTGTTGAATTTATTGATGATAGCCATTCTGAAAGGTGTGAGGTGATACCTCATTGTGGTCTTTTTTTTTTTTTATTGTGATGTTGAGCATCCTTAAAAATTTGTTTTTTATTGATTGATTTGAGAGAAAGGAAGGAAGAGGGAGAGAGAGAGAACATCGATTTGTTGTTTCACTTATTTATGCATTGATTGATTGTTTCTTGTATGTGCCCTGACCAGGGATCGAACCTGCAACTTTGGCGTATCAGGACAATACCCAAATCAGTAATCAACTGAGCTACCTGGCCATGGAGCATCTTGTCATGTCTATTGGCCATGTGTATGTCCTCTTTGGAGAACTGTCTACTCAGATCCACTGCCCATTTTTTAATCGGATTTTTTTTTTTTTTGGTGTTGAGTTGTATGAATTCTTTATAAATGTTGGATATTAACCCCTTATCGGATAGATCGTCAAATATCTTCTTCCATTCAGTAGGTTGTCTTTTGTTTTGTTGATGGTTTCCTTTGCTGTGCAAAACTTTTTAGTTTGATATAGTCTGATTTACTTTTCTTTCGTTTTCCCTGCCGGAGGTAAATCAGAAAACAATATTGCCAAAAGAAATGTCAGAGTTTTGGCAGTCAGTGTTTTTTGAACAATGCAGACTTACCTGAGCACAGAGGACCTTTTTTCCAGCTCACCTGGTAAGATCGTCAGCATTCCAAGGATCATGGCTTGCAAACACAGCCGCGATAGGTCCCGGAATTACCTGAGCTATATCAACTAACTTGAAGTTTTACTTGGGAGGAGTCTTAAGGTGATGGCTTCTATTCAAGGGCCCCGAAGTCTCCCTGAGGATTGTCACCCTGTGGCCATTTCCAGGAGCAGGGGCAGATATGGGGAGGGGACAACAGTAGGGTTGTGCTTAGTGGTCTCTGAGGTGTATCCGGAGCATATGTGTCTCCGGGCTGAGGAAGCAGAAAGGGAGGTCTGGGGTTGGGGGTACGAGCAGCCCTATTTCTAATGGTGGTTCTCGAGGCAATGTTGTGTGTGCACAAATGTGTGCGAGCGATTAAATTCCTGCCCGTGGAAGGGCTCAGATCCCACAATTCCTTGCTGTGTCCTTTTACTCTTCGTACCTCAACCTTGTCATCTGTAATATGGGGCCCCATGCATCAGTCACTCGGCACATTCCAGGGATCCAGTAAAAGGCATCCGTTGTTTCTCCAGTTCCCGTTTCTCCTCCAGAGAGGGCTGGGTGTGCCCCCCACTGGCTTCCTGCTCCCTAATCCGTGACTTCCCCACAGACCCTCTTCCAAAGCCCAGAAGAAGGCTGGCAGCTGTATACCTCGGCCCAGGCCCCCGACGGGAAATGCATCTGCACGGCCGTGATCCCCGCACAGAGCACCTGCGCCCGCGATGGCAGGAGTCGGGAGCTGCGGCAGCTGATGGAGAAGGTGAGAAGCTTCTGCTCTCTTTGGGGAATTCGGAGAAGTCTCCCAATTCTCATCTTGCCCTCCGCCCCCGTCCAGGTCAGCCAGGGCCATGTCTAGCCGCGCAGGTCATTCGGAGCCGGCAGACAACCGGCCTCCCCTCCAGATGGGCATTTTAGTTAGTATCTGTCCAGTGATTCTTTGGCGGAGAAGCTGAGCTCGGTGTGGGCTCCAGGAGGAAAGAGGACCCCCGTGGCAGCATCTGTCTCCTGCATGTGTGAGCTCCACCCTCACTGTGCACGCCCCACTCAGCCCTTTAGTTTGTCATGCTCACCTGCTAAGAAGGTGTTTTGTGTCCCTTGAGGAGGGGTCTCACCCTCTATCCCAAGAGGCTCGTATAAAGATTCCTTCCCCTTCTGATCATGGCCAATGGAAAATGGTCCCCATTCAATGCATCCCTTTGTAGACTTGGTGCCCTTTATACACTGCTTGCTGCCCTTGCCACTGCCCAGCTGCCTGCCCATTCGACAGTTCTAATGTTGGTGTTGAAAGGGCCCAGCTACCTCCCACCATCGCCCTATAATGGAGGAAGCTGAGGCGTGGCAGAGAACGGAAGAGACCCTTGTCATCACAACAATCTCCCACCTATTAACTCTGCGGATCCTGCCCTACCCGCTACACCAGAATTGCTTTCCCCAACAGTTCGGGACATCCATGCGATGTCCCTGATTGTTTACAATGGCTGCATCATGTTCTGCGGTGGCCAGGGTGGGTAGCAGGCTGTTGAGAGCTTCCAATGTCATGTGGAAAGTCTGTGTATTTCAACAACTTGCCTTTGAGTTCACCTTAGCCAGGTGGGGCTCACCTTGGCTGTGTGTAGCTCACCTGACCCAGGCGGAGGTGGGAGCTAGAGGGCCTTCAGTCTGCGTTAGGAGGCCAAGGGCTAGGGAATTTCAGTTTAGTCATTTAGCCAAAAAGTATTTATTAAGAATCTGCTTAGGACCCATGCTGGGCACTAGAGCTTTGGCTGTGGCCATGCTAGATACCGGGTCTGCCTCTGAGGATCCCATCTGAAGGTAACAGGTGAATAAGCCCGTTTCAGATAACAGTCACCGTTGGGAAGATAATAACTGGGTGAGGGGGGAGTGGGTATCTACTTGAGATGGTGATCAGAGAAGGCTACTCTGAGGAGGAGATGCTGGAGCTGAGACCTGAATGATGAGGAGCCAGCTGTGGGAAGATGATGGGAACAGTGCTCCAGGTAGAGGGATCAGCGAGTGCAGAGGAGGAAAGGAACTTAGAATCTGTGAGAGTGAAAGGGGCTGGTGGTTGGAGTGGACGCACATGGAGAGAGGCAGGCAAGGGGGCAGGACCAGCCCTCAGAGTCTACAGAGGAAGGGAGATCCAATCTTCCTTCTGAAAAACTCCCTCTAGCTGCTCTATGAAGAACTGACTTTTGGGGGCTAGGGTGGGAGCAGGAGGCCAGGGAGGAGAGGAGAGGTGAAAAGCGATGGTGGCCATTCCAGGAGGAGCCGATGGATGGGCTTGCCGTTGGGAGGCTGTTGGTAAGATCAGGGGAGGAGAAGGTTGGCTGGGGGCAGGAGTCTGGCTGTCTCTAACCCTCCCAGTTCCTAGGTCCAGAATGTCTCCCAGTCCATGGAGGTCCTTGAGTTGCGGACGTACCGTGACCTCCAGTACGTGCGCAGCATGGAGACCCTCATGCGGAGCCTGGATGCGCGGCTCCGGGCAGCTGATGGGTCCCTCTCTGCCAAGAGCTTCCAGGTGGGTCCTTTGGGGTCAGGTCAGAGGTCAGAGGAAGAATTGGGAATGTTGCCCACTTTTCTGTGTGTGAGATTGCATCTGGGAAGACTGAGGGTTGGCTGGGATCTAGGGTCCAGTATGGGCCAGATGTCAAAGACAGGGGGTGAGGCTGTGGGTCAAAGGTTGGGGTCATGTCTGGGTTAAAGGTCAGGGATAGGGATCTGCGACAGTTCCGTCTTGGTGAGCAGGAACTGAAGGACAGGATCACGGAGCTGTTGCCCCTGAGCTCGGTCCTGGAGCAGTATAAGGCAGACACGCGGACTATTGTGCGCCTGCGGGAAGAGGTGAGGAATCTGTCCGGCAGTCTTGCAGCCATCCAGGAGGAGATGGGTGCCTACGGGTATGAGGACCTGCAGCAGCGGGTGATGGCTCTGGAGGCCCGGCTCCATGCCTGCGCCCAGAAGCTGGGTATGCTTTGACCCTTGACCTTGACCCCTTACCTCCATGTCCAATCCCAGTACCAGTCCTGTGTATGCAGAAGCCAAACAGTGTTGACCTCTAACATCTAAACTTTGACCTTTGATCTCCCTTCCCAAGGCCACAAATAGATCCCAAAGCTGAAAATGACCCTGACCTTTGACTTCTAGCCCCTCACCCCCAACTTAACTCCATCTTGGAGCCAGATCTCTGGATCCATTCTCACCCCTGGTCCCACCTCTTCCCAGTCCCACTTCATCCTGGCTCTCCCTCCCTTGGGCTCTTTCCACCCCTGACTCCCTTATTCCCCCTGTTCCTGCCTCTCAGGCTGTGGGAAGCTGACTGGGGTCAGTAACCCCATCACGATTCGAGCCATGGGGTCCCGCTTCGGCTCCTGGATGACCGACACGATGGCCCCCAGTGCGGACAGCCGGGTGAGTAACTGTGCCCACCGCAGGGGTTGGAACCTGGGAGGGACAGCCTGTGGTTGCCCATAAGTGCCTGGTGATTTCACACCAATGATTCTCTTGTAGCCCAAAGTGTCTTTGGATCTTCAGAGCCCTTGGACCTCCCCTTGACTGGTGACTACCAAGTGATCAAGGACCTTCCAGCCCTATGAATCCCCAAGTCTGTTGACCTCTGATGACTGAATAGAGACTAATGGTTACTGGTACTACTGACCAGCTTCCAATGACCACTGACCTTTAAGTAACTATCTAGTAACCTGTGCCTTCACAAGAACTAGAGCTCCCTCCAACCCTCCACTCAGCACCACTCAGTGACCTTTGGATTTCCAGTGGCCTCTGAGTCCACAATTGCCAATCACCTCTGATCTAGAGGGACCATTCATTAACTGCCCATGACTAGTGACTGATATGCTAGTGACTGATATCCTTGCCATGAAAATTGGCCTCCGAGGGATTATCGTGGTTCAACCACGTGGTTAAGAGCTTGGGTTTGGGAATCAGACTTGGATTTGTATTTCAGTTCCACCAATTCTTAGCTGACCAGGGTTCCTTCATGTCTTGGATACTCAGTCTCCTTATCTTCAAAAGGGTCGTGATGATGTTGGCATTGAAGTTTTTAAGATGTGTAGCCCAGTAACCAGCCCTAATAAGGGCTCTAGGGCTAATGAATATGCTGATGAGTGATGATGATGATGATGATGAAGGTGCTGATCACAGGCCTGGTCATCTCATGGTTGCAGGGGTTACCATGGGCAAGGAATTCAAGTGACCTCTCATCAGCCAATGGCTGTCCAATGACCACTAACCATCCAATAGCCAATGACCAGTAAATTTCCAGGTCCAGTGAGTCCCTAGAGACTGAAATCTCCCCTGATCCTTAGGGGTCAAGCCCTGTCCACTTAGTGTGTGTTTTAAGACCAATGGCACCCCCTGATCTAATAATCCCAATCTGACTATGATAGGTCACGAATGATCACTAATGACCATTTAGGAACTGTTCATCCTAATGACCATGGTTGATTCCTGAGTGATTGCTGCAGACTTTGGGTCATTGGCAGTGGTCCCCCAGTGACCAGTGGCTCTCTCATAGGTCTGGTACATGGATGGCTATTACAAGGGCCGGCGCGTTCTGGAGTTCCGCACTCTGGGAGACTTCATCAAAGGCCAGAACTTTATCCAGCATCTGCTGCCCCAGCCCTGGGCAGGCACAGGCCATGTGGTATACAATGGGTCCTTGTTCTACAACAAGTACCAGAGCAATGTGGTAGTCAAGTACCACTTCCGCTCACGCTCCGTGCTGGTGCAGAGGAGCCTTCCGGGGGCTGGTTACAACAACACCTTCCCCTACTCTTGGGGTGGCTTCTCTGACATGGACTTCATGGTAGATGAGAGCGGGCTCTGGGCCGTGTACACCACTAACCAGAATGCAGGCAACATTGTGGTCAGCCGGCTAGACCCGCACACCCTTGAGGTCATGCGATCCTGGGACACTGGCTACCCCAAGCGCAGCGCTGGTGAGGCCTTCATGATCTGTGGCGTGCTCTACGTGACCAACTCCCACCTGGCCGGGGCCAAGGTCTATTTTGCTTACTTCACCAACACGTCCAGCTACGAGTACACGGACGTGCCCTTCCACAATCAGTACTCCCACATCTCCATGCTGGATTACAATCCCCGGGAGCGGGCCCTCTATACCTGGAACAACGGCCACCAGGTGCTCTACAATGTCACCCTCTTCCACGTCATCAGCACTGCTGGGGACCCCTAGAGGCCCACCAGGGGCCCTTTCTACTCTGCCTGTGTCCCTTCAAGTTGATCTGTCTCTGTCCTGCCCCACCTCCCCTCCTGTCCCTTTTTTCTCTCTCCCTGCCTTTCGCCCAGCTTTCATTCTCTGCCTCTGTATTTCTATTGGTGCATTTTCTCAATGTCTCTTCTCCTTTATTGATCTGATTTTGATACTCCAGTTCTTTGTCATCCTGCCTCTTTATTGACGTCCCTCTTTCTTTTTATTGATCTGACTCTCCAGATCATTCCGTCTCTGCCTGTCTCTCTTCCCTCCCCTTTGCTTCCCTCCCACTCATTCCCTTCTCCCTCTCTCTGAACCTCTCCTCTTCCCCTCCAAGGAGTTGAGTGCATGGATCTGTTTATTTTTATTTACACCTTTCCTTTCTGGGTTGCTGGAATAAACGGGACCTTTGACATTTGACGCTTGGTTGTTCTGTGTCCAGGAGGGACAGAGGAGGCAGTGGTGCAGGGTAAGTCTGAGCCTGGAGACCCATCCCCATGCAGCAAGTTTTGTGAACCAGGGCAGGGAAGCCCAGCCTGGGGGGGTGGGCCGGCCAAGCCCGTTGGGAAAATAGGCAAAGTTGTTTCAATGGAAAACAATTTGTTGAAAAGCAATTTGATCCAAACACCTGAGAATTCTGTCGCAGCGATGAAAACTGGCCTCACATGAATATTCTCCATCATTTTCTCACTCATTGATCAGTCTGGTGCATTGCTGAGTCCCCCTGGCAACTTTTTAAATGGGGTTTTAACCATTTGGCTGCTTCTAGAATTTGGGTATGAGTGGGTGGGACACAGTTTTCCTTTTTCTTCTCTCTTTGCTTTGTAATTTCAAAATCATTTTATAGGAGTCGCACCTGTTCTTGGTTAATAGCAAAAGGCTAGAAACAGCCTGGAGGTGCACTGGGTGCCTTCAGTGAACACACCCACACCTGGACCCCATCTACCTGGAAGGGGCTTGGGCAGGCGTGGGCCTGACATGGAGGACCCAACACGGAGACTGCAACTCCTGCAGGCGAAGGACAGGAAATGCTAGGAGACAGGAAGCGGTGTGAGAGGGTGTCAGGCAGAGATGGGGGCCACTGTGGTCACGGGAGGGAAGAGCAGATGGAGGCTTGATTTCTGCCAGGTCCCCGGTGGCCTGGATGAGACAGCAGGGAGTGGGAGAGGGACCTCTGGGCCGGTGGCCAGGAACAAAGGTAGGACTGTCCACAATATATGGTCCCCACTGACTCCTGAGCAGAAACCGTCCTAAGAACCCACTGGCCCAGACCCCACCCCCACCTGCTGAGGCCAGAGGCTGTGAAACCTGGTCCTCTGGTGGAAACCCCGTCCCCCAGCTGCTCAGCTCTAATTAATGGCCTCCTTGATTAAATCATCTCCGCTCCACGCTGGCATCTCCGGGAACTCGGGACACCGGGGCCATATTGTGAAGGAAACCAATGAATAATAAATGTGACTGCCTAATGCATTCATTTAAAACCAATTTTTAAAGAAATGTTCAAGAGGAGCAATTAATTTCCATTTAAATTAACAAGTTTGACAGGAAAAGAATCGATCCCTGGATAGACATGTTGAAAGGCACTTTGCTCTGAACCTGCTTAGAAGACAGGCCCCGGGCTGGGGCACTCAGAACATCTGCCCGCCACCCTCCGACTGTGTTTATTCAGAGGAAATCTCCAAGGTGAGCAGGGCGGTGGGGTGGGGAGTTAGGGCGTTGTTCTCCTATAGCGAATTTTCCCAACGTAAGGTGAGGGACTGCGACTGCTGAGTTCGATAATCTTTGTCCAAAATATACACAGACTTGGGAGACTCGCATGAGAAAAGGCGTAGGTGTGTGTGTGTCTGTCACATCTGCACACCAGTCCTCAAATGGATGCCACAGGCACCTGCATCATACCCCCCACCCCCCACCTCCCCCTCCACACAGGCAGGCCTAGCACCCCTTATATTGGATATACTTACATGGATATACAGTTGACCCTTCAACAACACGGGTCTGAACTGTGCAGGTCCACTTATATGCAGATTCCACCCTCCCCCAATACAGCAAATGTATTTTCTCTTCCTTAGAATTTTTTTTTTTTCAAACTATAAGAGAAAGTTTACTTACAAAGTTACAGAGGTAGTAGAAGTGAGCCTGCTGGGTTGCGCAGGCTCAGGAACAAGCAAGTTACAGAAGCAAAAGGACCCTTGGAGCTTAGGAGAGAAGGGCAGAGGTCATGCGCCTAGGGCAGTGGTCGGCAAACTGTGGCTCTTTGGCCCCTTGAATGTGGCTCTTCCACAAAATACCGACTTCTGCGCATGGGCCACGAAGTTTCAATCGCACTGTACGTGCGCGCCCGCATGTAGTATTTTGTGGAAGAGCCACACTCAAGGGGCCAAAGAGCCGCATGTGGCTCGCGAGCCGCAGTTTGCTGACCACTGGCCTAGGGGAAGAGGGAGAAGGGTGTGCTGAGAGCACATTTCCTTTTCTCCAGCTTACCTCAAGAATACAGTACATAGAAACTCGTAAGTCAGGGCCCCACTGTAGCTTAGAAAATATGTGTGAATTGACTGTTTATATCATCCACAGGGCTTCCAGTTAACAGTAGGCTATTAGTTAAGTTTTGGGGGACTGACTGCATGAGGGTCAGTGCCCCTAACAGCCGTGTTGTTCCAGGGTCAACAGTATATCCAACAAAGGGTAGGCAGGAATAATTCACCCACCCCTGCCCAGGCCAGGATCATGCCATCTGGTTTTGGCCACCCTCTCTGCTGACTGACTCCCCTCCTGGGCGTGCACCAGCTCCACTGGGAAAGCACGGTTGCAGTACCAGCGTTTCTCTGAGTCGAGGGGACCTGAACTGGCCCTGCCCGGTGGCCACAGAAGCCGGGGCTGTTGCCCAGGGCAGAGGAGTGAGCACCAGTCCTCTGGGACGAAGCTCAGCTGGGAGGGAAGGCTACACGGTTGTCACCATCCTGAAGGCCGCGATTTCTGACCTCGCTTCTGGGCCGGAGGGGGATGTGGAGCAGGAAAGGAAAGCCACAGCCACTGAACCGTGAATCAGCCTGACACTGAGTGGGCCCTGGGGACCTGTTTATCTAACAGTGACGTTCTTTTGTGTTTGGGTCTCGGCTGCTGCACAGCTAGACAAAGGCAGGGGAGGGGGTCCACAAAGGCAGGGAGGGGGTCACACCAGACCGGGGAGGTGGGGAGATGGGAAGGGCGTTACTCCCAGGGTCGCAATGGATACATACCTAGAGACAACTAGGGACACACGGTCACATGTGCTCGTGAGAGACATGGATGCCCAGTGACAGGGAACGGCACGAAGACCAGGACAGAAAATCACACCCCTCTCCCTGGCAGCGTCTTAGCCACCTGGGAGCCCGGGGACACCTTCTCTGGGCCTTTGGTGTTGAAAGTGCCCATTCCCCAGAGGCCCTTCGCCTTAAAGCAGAACTCCGACACCCTCCTGCCCACAAGCACTCATTTCTGATCCTTCCCAGAGGCACCGCTGGGCCAGCAGCGGAGTGATTGCTCCCCTGACCACACAGAACTGTTGACACAAACAGTGGGGCTGCTTGCCTGCCTGCCTTGTGGCCCCCAAAGGCGATGGAAGATTCTGCCAGGAGGTGCAGCCAACTAGCTGACTCTCCCCAGCCCACTAGAGCTGAACTTGATTAAGCCTTCCTAATGACAAATGCTCCGGCAGGCGGCAGGCGGAGAGCAATTGCTCCAGAAACCTGCCAGATTGGAGTCCGCCCAGGTGACTGTTTGAGACTCAGCCCTGGGTTCCTGCCTCCCTTGGGGTCAAGCCAGTCAAGGCTCTATTTTGCTCAGGTTCCCAACCCCTGGCAGTCTGCTATCCCCCTGATGCAGGCTAGTCCCCATTAAGGTGTCAGCACAGAGGGCATAACCACCTAACAGGCCCATAACTCCCAGAATGAACTCCGAGTCCCCAGCCCAGGCCCTGGCACAGGGGCAGCTGTGAGGAAGGGATGAAGAGCAGGTAGGTCACACCCACAGCCCCCGCCCCAAGAGGGAGAGCCCACCACCTCCCCCATCAGCCACAGGGATCCCCTCTGTTCTGATGGCCTCCTCGCCCCATTCCAGCACAAGGCCTCCCGGCATCTGCAGAGGCGGCAGGACCCAGGCACGACCTGCCAGAAGAGCTTGTGGTGCAACAGGGAAGCGGTGCGGGCATCACTCTAACTGGGGTGCCTGTGGGAGGGGTGTGTATGTGTGGCTCTCCCAGGATCCCCTGCAGGTCTCCAGGTCCATCTGACCTGCTGAGTCCAGGCTGTGGGGTCCAGGCAGGGTCCTTGCATTCGGGAACACCCAGGTCTGAGGGCCGCTGGCGCTGACCGGTGCCCCCTTCCCTGGGGCCTGGCTGCTGGGATGCACTCCTGCTGTCCTCAGGCCCAGAATGTGGAGGCTTCTCAGGGAGGATGCGCAGGCTAGACACTAGGGGTGGTGGGAGAGGCCTGCTCCCCCAACAGTGTGCCCTCACTCAGCAGGGAGGAAATGAGACACAGGACAGCGGAGCAGTGGTTCCAGGTTTAATGGAGGGTGCGGGTGCTGCACTGCTGCTCAGAGGCCCCACAGCAGCAGCAGCCTGGGCCCCACACAGAGCATCTGCGTTTTGCGATTTAATAGAGGAACATGGCATAACCAGGAACAACGTACGGCCCTCCTACCCCATCCTGGACACGGGACAGCTCAGCTGACTAGGCCTTCCCTTTGGGACAGGGCACCCCCACCCCCTGGGTCTGGGAGCTCTGGGAGCCCCCCCCCCACCGCTGTCCTTCCGAAGTCAATTCCAAAGGAGGGGGGAATCTGGCGGGGACAGCCCCAACCTGGGTCCCACAGGGAGCCCCTAATGGTGCAGAGCCCCTCTCCTAGCCATTTTGGGAACAATAAATACTGTGTGACATCAGCAGGGAGAGGCGCCCATGCTCGGCTGGCAGCAGTAAGCAGGGCCTCCAGGCCCAGCCACCCTGCCTGCCCCGCCCCATCCCAAGGCCAGGCCTGGGCACCTGCCCCCTCACTCCGTGCGCAGGATGATGTGGATGCCGGAATCCGTGAACACGGGCCCGCTCATCTCCCCCGTCCGAAGCGCAAAGGAGGCATCTTCAAATGGCTTTTGCATCTGACCTGGGGAAACGTAAGGGAGGATGCGTGGGGGTCAAGACCGGACCAGGCAGGACGGCCAGATGGGGCTCCCGCCTGTGCCCAGTCTCCCACTCATCTGTCACGTGGTTTATGGCCCTGTCACAGTGCTGAGCAGCCCAGCTGGAGGTGGCAGGGCCA